AAGGCATGCAAAACATGAGAGTACCCCCCCCCCCCCCGAACCGCTCGTTTTCTTCTGCCTAAACCGTTTGGCGTGTTCACGATGGTGTTTTTTTTTTTTTCTGATTCACGTTGAGTACAAATACGCTGTTCTTGGCCACGGTTGAGTGCATCCTCCCCCTCCGACTCTCAACACCAGTACCTAACACGACCAAACCCCGTCATCATTCACCAGAACACCGGGACAACTTCCTCGGCCCGTCCCGACCTCAACGGTACACGTCGTGCCTACACCGCTTCCTATTTCCTCGTGTCTGTCTGTGTATTGCAGGACTTCCGGTTCAACACTGGCACACCTTCGACATCGGAGGAGGACGATTCTTCGCCAGGGTCCGGCTAACTAGGCCGGAACGACCCAAGAAGCTTTTCCACCCGCCCCCCAAAAAAATCGTACCGCGCCACTACAAAAAAGCGTGTAGATATTTTTTGTAAGGCACCCCAAACGTTTTCGTGAGCGAAGCAGGAGTGTGTGGTGGTGAGGAAAGCGGCGTGCGTTAGATTGGTGACCTCTCGAGAGAGACCGTTTCCCGTTCAGCAGCAGACCTCACGGAGACCACCGTTTTGGTTTTTTCTTGCATGCCAGCTATTCGCAAGTAGCCGCAGCAGAAGTTGTTCGACGGTGAAGGCATGCGCCGCGCTGGACTTGGAATCGTGATGTTCCGGGCGACCATCACGACAAGGATTGACGCTCACACGATGCCTCTTGTTGGCGGGTGGAGCGATCGTTTTCGCTGTTTTTGCCTTTTTTTTTTTTTTCCTTGGGTCACGCTTTCGTGTTGTTGGGTTGGGTGAAGCTGGTCTGTCAGACTGTCAGACAAGAAAGAGAACGAGAGGCCGACATAGGGAAAGGACAGTGTGCTGCCACACACCCGCGTGTCCGCATGTAAAGCAGTATATATGGCACTCAAACTCCCGCGTTGGGGGAAGGAAAAAAAGGAAAAAAAAAGAGGAAGGCGACGCACTCTTTGCTTGCGGCGTGATTGACGTCCTCACGTTATCCCTGCCCGTGGTGCAGTGGTTTGCAGTGGCAGCACGTGATGTTTTCGACGCTATATGGCATGGGATGAAGGCATTAGTAACACCGAACAGGATGGAGGGGTGAAATGACAACTCGATTCGGCCATAGACGACACCAGCCAAGACAAAACGTAAGGTCCACGCACAACCATCTCGTCCAACAATCCTTCCGCACAAAGGTACGCGTTTCTCGGGGTAGGGGTGGGTGTTCCGAAATCTGACAGTACAATTAAACGCCCTTTCTCCAGGCGCATCTTCCTGCCCGTCAATCACAGCGCAAACAAGACTCTTCGCAGACACGGGTGCGGGTGTCAGGCTTCGCGTACGCGAGCCAACATGCACAAGGTTAATACACAAACACATAACCTCTCCCTGGGTATCAAAATGACAAGTGATGTAGTTGAACACACATACAGTCCTCCCCCTCCTGTGCAGCGGTACTTGTGCGTTTGCCCAGTGCGCTCGCATGAGCGCCAACAAGGAGGAGGTATTGTCTGCTGATCAAAGCTCACCCCCAAGCCGCCACAGGTCATACGCTGCCAAGGCTACAGTGCCCCCGCAAGCGCCCCTGCATCCTACAAAAAACAAACCGCACTGCTACTGCTGCTGTGTAGCAGCTCAGGTAACATTTCACATAAAAAAAAAACACACACACACACACCATGTTCATCCCCCGAAAAAAAAGATGCAGTACAGCACAGGTGGTGTTCCAAATATAGCTGCATGCCATATCGATGATAGATTGGTTGTTAGTAATCCACGTAGAGCACCTTGGCCTTGTGTCAACGTGGTTCCTTCCCGATAGCCGTGGCATTACGCGGTCAACCCCCGCCCCAGCAGCAACCGCGATCGATCAATCTTCTGCTGCTGCAGCAGCAGAAAGAGCTGGAGGACGGGTATCTGGCGGTGCTACTTGGCTGGCTGAGGGCAACAACCAAAAAGCACCATCTGGCCAAAAACAACCACTTAAGTATTAGCGTTGGTACACACATCGTTGATGACGATGGGTGCCGCCGTCGCCATCGCAGTTCCGTGCGCGCTCGCACCACACTAACCAGCAGAGTGGGTAACCGTCAGCTGAATATGTCCGGCGCACGCGGGCTCGCTGCAGCACACCGCCGGGTGCCACGCCCTAGCGAATTCTCCCCTCCCTCACGGGCGATGACCTCGACCACTGCCGCCATAGCTGCCCGGACGGATCGATAGCCCCGTCTGCGCAAGGCCGGCCTGTAGACCGTTTTACCACCGACCGAAGACACCTCGCGTACCACGGGGGAATGACTACTATTGCTACAACTAGCACAATTGACTAAAAAAAACAGTGACTACATCGGGGCCGCCAACGAACAACAAATCCCCTCTTCCAATCAAACAACACAGGGTACCAAAGGTAGTGTTGCGTCCCCGTCTAAATGTCTCGACGTGCTTCGAAATGCAGGAGGTACCAATCACCTACAGGCCTTTCGGGACCCGAGCAAGGATTTCCAGGAATCGAGCACACACCCCTTACGCGCAGTGTTGTTGTCCACGTGGCCGTATCGCGGATTTCACCACTAATCAGCACTATTGTAAATGAAATCGATGGGCCATGAGGTCTTCCTTATCAAACATGCCTCTGCGGTGCTCACCGCCTCCGGCGAAACTGCCCAGCGAAACCCCAGCATGTGGAGCGCGTCGGCAGCAGCGGCAGCAACAGCACGAGTGACGCGGGCCCCGTCGCCCCCCCGCCCGCCCGCGTCTCTGCCTCCATGTCAACCACACCCAGAGCAGCACAAGGGCCCCCGACAGCATGCGTGCCCCTTTGGCCGGTTTCCCACGAACCGAAGCCGTTGCGGGTACCGCTGCAGCACCCGTACTCCAGCTTCGCGAGCGCCCCCTCTCTGGGCGCAAAACATCGGATCGCGGCATCGGCCGAACCAAGCGTATATTCCGTAGCATCGACAAAAGAGACAAAGTTCAACCTTACGGCGGCGGTCCCCGCTACTATGGCCACACATCCTGGTCGAGGTCCTCCCACGCCACGGGCCACTCCCTCATGAAGAACGGTGATCGCGGAACAGCATCCTGAATTTGTTTTTTTGGCATGATTTTCGTGTTTTGAAGGGACAACGGGGAACAGCCGTTAGGGTGACGTTCTCTGAGAAATGGCGGCAAAGAGACTGTGTGAATGAGGGAGGCGGGGGGGGGGGGGTACTCTCATGTTTTGCATGACTTAGCGGTCAGACCTTTGCGTCCTGCGGAGGACGGAGCATTGTTCCCACAGGACCGATCACTGATGGCCAATCGTTCCTACTTTGCCAAAGGTGACTCAAAACGTCTTCCCTAGTCTATCTATCCTATCGATATCACTTCCAGGGGGGGGGGGGG